AACAACAAGAATAATATGTTACAAGGTTTTAAGATAAAAAAATTTTTGAAAGTAGCAAAATACTACAAAGATTCAAAGTAAAAAGGTACTGAAAAAAAAAAATGCTATAAATGCTAAAAAGATTCAAAAATATTACTAGAGATGAGAAGGTGCCAAAGAAACTCTGAAGTGCTGCTAGAGATAAGAAGGCTCAGAAGAGGTTTAGGAATGCTATTAAAGATAAAGTGCCAAAAAGATTTAAGAATGTTACAAAAGCTGAAGTAGGTGAGAGATTTAGAAATGCTACTAGAGATGAAGTACTGAAGAAATTCAGAATAAAGAATTATAGCAAAAATAAGAAACTCTAAAAAGATTCAAAAAACTAAGAAAAAACCTAAAGTAAAAAGATGAATTATTTTTTATTTTTCACTTTCTCATTCTTTAATTTATTATATATCTATTATGATTATCTTGTATTAGATTACATCTGAGACACCTCAAATGACCATTTGATAGATTACATATCTTATCTAATAATCTGTATTTGAGGTATCTTAGATATAATCTGATACAAGTGTTAGTCTGAGACACAATATATATAAAAGTATATATTATCCCTTAAACTATATTCCAGACAAATTTGCCTAGAATTTTAAAAAGTATTTATAATTTTTTAAATAAAATCAAAAATTATTAATAATATAGAGTATATTTTATATATACAATATTTTATTTAAACATATTCTATAAGCTTTATTATAAATTTTTTTTTAATTTTGCTAAAAATTTTAGAGTAATAAAAATTTAAAGCTCTTGCTTTAAAAATTTTACTATAAAATTTTTTTTTAAATTTTCTAAATTTTTATATGTTTCTGCCTTTAAAAAAATTTTTGCTTCTAATACAAGTCTTAATTTTTATTAGTAAATCATTAAAGATGTAATAATAGAAGTTGTCATCTTTTATATAAACTACAATATTGTATTAAGAGCTATAGATTTAAAACTAATATTTAAAGAGTTCGTCAAGAATTTGTAAATAATTTTTTTAGTTAAAATTTTTTTTAAATTTATTTGTTTTTAGCTTATAAGCAACCCAAACTTTTATTCTTATAATATAAAATTAAATACTACTATAATATAATCCTTATTTTCAAATATTATCAAAAAAAATTTTATTTAAATATTTTAAATTTTAAAAAAAATAAATTATAAACAAATTTATAGCAATTTTCTAGGCAAATTTGTCTGGAATTGCTTACAGTTTAAGGAATAACTATTATTAAAAAAAATAAATAAGTTTATAAATATATATATATTATATAGTAGCTATATAAATTGTTAATACTCAGAAGAACTAGATAATGATAGCACCCTTATGTTTAACCAGAGTGCCTTTAATTCTTGCAAAACTATAAGAGCTAGATATATAGCAAGCAAAGCTATAAAAGATATTCAAAAGATTTATGTTATATTCTCTTCTACTTCTTTTAAACCTTTTAGCTATTTTAATTATTTCTTTTTATCACAAAACTATTCACCAATACTATTTCTTAAACACTTAATTTTTTTTTATATTTGCTTAACAATAGATAATAGAATAATATTCAAAATAAAGGGGTGTAAAAAAAAAAAATAACTCTTTCCCGTAGATCATCAAAACAACAAAAATTAAGAAGAAAACACTCGTAAAAATAAAACAAATTAGTTTTTA